TCTATAAGTGCACACCCTCCCTAAGTGCACGCAAATGTCAGGTCCCGAGAGCGTGCACTTATGGAGGTGCGACTGTATAACAACATGTTAGTATCATTATGTGTCATCTAACACGCGAACATGCGTCTACTCGGGTATACCCAAACGTCTCCCCAAAGCGCGAACATAACGTTACTTAAATATACAACGCAACGAGCCTTACTGCCACTTTATAAAGGAGTTTGAAAATAGCGATATAGCGATATAGTAATATAGTAATATAGTGATATAGTTCCGAAGATAAGCACCCCCAAAATTGTTACCTCCGAAAAGAAGCACCTCCCCACATGTTGTGACTGTTTATATTTACACACCTGTGATTATTACATGAAGTTGTGACCAATGCAACCCCCGTTTGCTGTAATTGCGAGTCCCGCTCTAGTAGATTTATTTCCCTAAGTGCATCTCACGTGATTCAATTGTTCGGAAAAATGATCAACACAATGTAGCAATACGGTATCAAATTTCAAACATCACAATTCGCGCGCACAACATTATTTGAATTATTTGTTATTTTCTTTTTTTCACTGTTTGAGTTTGATCTTGATTACCAATATTGAAACAGAAGAAGGACTTTAATTGATTATTGTTATAGATCTAGTTGTGCAAAGGAATATTTCTTTCGATGTTTTAATTAGAAACTGTTTGTTTCATTTTACAATAGCTTTGAAACTAGCGAAAGAACTTTAATTGTTTTAACGTAGATATTGTCATTTCTAATTCAACAAGAGGGTACCAGCAGCTATTTAAAAGGCGTCAATAGTTTGGAGAAGTTTATTCGCGAAAAAAGGGTAAATTCAACAACGTAGCATAACACAGTTCCTAGCTAACAATACAATTAGTATTTTTATAGTCAAACTTTTTATATAAAGTTAGCTAGAAAATATAATAAAGGAAAATCTGTTTAATCAACGTGATTGTTAAAATCTCTTTCCATTAAGGAAACCCTCCATAAATGCAAAACCTCCATCTGGGGGTGTCACTGTATATATAAAATAGTTTCTTCCCAGCTTTTTATCAATTTGTGCGATTCCACGCTCATGTGCAAAACTTTAACACCTGGACCTATCTTATAATGAAACAATTATAGATGAAGCCATATTTGCAATTTCGACTAGCTGTCCTAATATGCAAAGTGAAGGTTGTGCACAGATTGCTGATAGAGCAATCAAAAATATTGCTTGGTAAATCCTAAACTTACAAAATCTCATTCTCAAATCTTGTTACAAATTACAGATGATGGTTTATGTAATATAGTTAGTTCATCTCCGAATCTTTAACGTCTTATTCTTCAATATATTTACATCACTGATAAAACGATATACGAGATTGTACGTCATTGTTGGTCCTCAATGCGATGGATTGCCCGTTTATATCTAATGAATCAATCTACTTCCTATTAAGCAAAAGACCGACACTAGACATAATATTACACCCACTTACCAAAAGTATTGGTGATTTTCGTTGATCAATTAGTAAAACATATGAAAATTTCTTTTTTTCGGACATCTCTATTGTCTGTATGTACTATGTAAGTTGCAATAATTTTTATACCGTTTTGAAGTAAATTGACTGTACTTTCGAAAAATAATAATGTGAAATTTAAAAATAGTCACTGTAATGAAAGAGTGGTGCGATGAAGTGACAGTATCTATGTTACACATATGAAAATGTATGAGCAATATATGTGTAACATCAATGCCACCACTTTATCGAACTGCAGCCTTAAAACGATATAACGGGACTGAATATATCATTACCTTTTTTCGAAAGTACAGTCAATTCACTTCAAAACGGTATAAAAATTGTTGCGACTTACATAGTACATACAGACAATAGAGATGTCCGAAAAAAAGAAATTTTCATATGTTTTACTAATTGATCGACGAAAATCATCAATACTTTTGGTAAGTGGGTGTATATAAACAACTGAAATTCGAGTAGGTTCCACACCTTTCCTGCATAGGATCCACAATCTTTCAAAGTTCAATTGAAGTCTGCCATAATTGCTTTTTTGCTGGCTTGGTCGAAGTTTCCAACAGAATAATAAAATAACTCTTACTGTGTAGGAACGATGGAAAACAATTAATAAACTTACTATTGGAAATATTCAACTGGCGTTCACTATGTCTTCCCTAATGGTAGATATTTAGTCTGGTAATCTCTAGTTTTCGGCATATGCTGAACTTATTCGAGTTACAGTGTTGAGAGCTTAATCAGTTGTACGAACGATTATCGATGAAATCCCAGCAACATCATCGCTCGTACAACAATATAGGTAAAATTAAATGGTAGCATTACGTGTCTTTTTATCATGTCTTCCCGCATTATTTTAAATACTTTCATCTTTATTCATTCTCTTAATTCCATCAAACCCTACCCGGCCTATCGGAAACATGATTAATTTGAATACCAAATAAATGCACTTTAGATCGGAATATGGATTGTGCTCAATCGTAACTGTTATGAGCAGTAGCGTCAATGCTACAATAATCAACCTCCCGTCGCAAGATAATTCTCGCCTACCAATTTTCTTTGTTGTATTTTTATGCACTAATTTCGTTAGACAATTTGGCTGGGTAAAAGAAATGGTATAATCGAAATAGTCAAAGCAGCAACATATTACGTATAATATACGTAATTATCTGTGGCCACGACGGTACGAGATACACGTCGGAAGTGTTGCTATTGAATTTAACAGGATTTTTATATTCAAATTACTAATACCTCAACGCGACCGCGTTTTTTATAAAATTTTTTGCTACCGCAAAAGAAAGTAATGAGAAAAAAGTGGGGGAGAGGTGGTTTATGTAATATCATGTGTGGCTAATTCATTTTTTGCCTTTTTGTCTGTGACTGAGAACCTCTCTATCCCCTCTTCCATATGCAACAATAACTGTCTGTGACAGTAATGAGTCCATATATTTCCTCTACTCGAACACTCATATTATTGAAATAGACTTATTGACATTGTCGTTCAGACGTGGTGGTGGGAGGAGAACATCGTGTTGTTACCATGAAAAATCTTGCTTCTTGTCCCGCGATTATTCCCGGGGCCGTTGCTGTAATGAATCGTAGATATACTATCCTCGGGTTCGATGGGATTTTGTTAGCTTATCCTCGGAATTCCTCGGAATTACCATTTCTCTGCATCAGTGACTATTACTATGCCAAAACACTTAAAGATGGTATTTCTGGCCTATCATTGCAACTTGTTAACATCACACAAAAACTTAAAGTTTCGGAAAGCTTACCAAAGGCATTCTGTGCGATGCCCTTGTTGGAAGTCACACCCGCATCCCCTGAATATGAACGCCTTTGTCAGCTGTATGATAATGATAATCAATGGCGTAATATTGCAAGGGTTCAATCAACTAGTTGGGTTCAATCAGACGCATCGCCTATTTTTTTTTTCTTTCGGCTCGTTCTGAACAAGTTTTGCGCACCTGTCTCGATTTCCTTATTTAGCACGAATTTTGTTACGAATAAATTAAATTTACTTCATCTTAAAATTTCATGTTTTACTATGATTGACAACGAATTTGACTAAACCATGTGATACCGAAAGCATAATTGATAATCGAACATTCAGATAGTTGCGCGAAATGCATTTAGAGTTCAAAAGCACTTGATTCAATTTCCTTAACACAGATCCGAAATTATGCAAGAAGTCGGAATATGCTGTCATCATACTGCAATAAGGCTTGTAACACTCAAAATCAGGAAACGAGCCAATAGGACAGAATGCGGACGGATGAGCACAAACCATACGTAATGATGTTTATGGCAACATCCTTAATATTAACAAGTATCTCTTAATCGTCATCAACTGGCATGATATTTTTGTGAAATGTGTAAAAAGTCCAATCTATTAGAAAACAAAAGATCCAAAATAAAAAAAAAAAAAAAGTAAATTCATCTCTATAAAAATAAAGGATTCGATTTTTCGGCACAAAGCTAGAGCCGCTTCAATTACATATTTTCTTGCAGCTCTGACCAAAACCAAAAAATTTCAACTTTTTTGGTTTTTCGCATTTAGCCAATCATTCCGTTAGTCACCATGGTTTCGATCAAGTCCTCTAACGGAGCTATATCCTTTTTATCCAATAAATTAAACTCTTTTCCAAAGGAAACAAAATGTGCAAATAAAGCGTTAAGGTGACCTTCTTCGCAGAGATTAAGGATTTGTTCGTAGTGGTGATGATAGATGTGAGCAAAGACGCGGAATGATTGTTTGAAGATTGCTCGCACAGTCTGTTGAAAGTCTCTGGTAAAGTCACGATCTGGAATAGGAATAAATTTTAGTTAAAGGGGAGTATGAATGAGAAATAACTATATGAAAGCAATACGTCAGCTCCAAGGACAATGTATACAGCCAGCATATCCATACAGGGCCTTTTATACAGCTTGAGGTAATCGCTCAGATCTTATTTTGCCCCAACTTTTAAATATTCCCCGCTAATGAAATCTCCAACCATCACATTGTCATCAACTGTTAACCCGCTACACTATCTCCTTCCTTGAACTCTCCGTCACTTTCCCTCTATTAATATAAACGTATGCTAGCCCTTGGTATCCACACGATCTTACCTGCTTTTGTGGGAAACACACTTTCATCATTAATATTATTATCAATCCACGTCATGGCGTAATCTATGTATGTTCGAGCCGGTACTTTAGAACCCTTTCTTGTATGTGGATCGACCCATAGATAGTCCGGACTAGAAATTTCGAACGAATACAAGTTAGAAACTTTTAAGTAATGCGCTAGCTTGCCCGCCAAGTCCAAACCGTGCGAAAGACATAGCAACACGCTATTGTACGACTGCTGGACAGATTATCACGATGCAATTATTATATGTAATCCTTATATGTAATACTTACTATACACCAGCTCCCATAGTTGGACAACTGTCTAAAGTGCAAAAGTCAGCAATCGATCCATAGAACAAGTTAAGATACGTGTAGAATTCGAAAACTGAATAAAGCAATGATATCAAATTTTAGTATCAACATTGATATAAAGAGCATCGTTGCCCACAAAATCTCTTAACAAATCACATCGCTCTATTCGTTACTTACCATTGGCAGCCAACCACTCATTCTCATCAACGTATTTCGGCAAGACTACAATTTTCTTGAAACTTCCATCGGCAATGGATGCATTTACAAAAGGTGGTGATAGGAACAACGGAGGACGGGATGGTCCTGCCGAGGTTTTGGGTGTGCGTGGTTTTGATTTGAGTTTTCTGTTAGAGAGTTGTTTGGGGGCGGTGGTAGTGGTGGTGGTAGTGGTGGGGGAAGAAAGAGAGAAAGGTTAGGATGGGAGAGGGAGAAATGCTCATCAAACTCTACGACTATTTGTCCTAGTCCTATATAACTCTATACAATTCTATAATACTTTGCTCCTGTCCTCTTGATCCGACACCAAATGCTGTGATGACCTTCTCAAAGCCCTCATATTTACCCAATAGCCGCTCTTAACCAACCCTGTCCACACAATCTGCTTCTCCACATTACACTATCACCCTATTTATGATTCTTACGATATGAAGCTCATATTTATTATTATTCGTAAAGCGTGTTTTTTACAGTATTAGTGTCCTCGTGCGATGTCTTATTCTTAATAGTATTGGTAAGTGCAAACCCGATTTGAGTTATTATCACCGAGTGTTTTGGATATTATTCACAATATTAAGAACCTTTATCGGAGTTCATCTCTGATAGATTACCACTTAATTTAATTCGACTAATCCTATTGGTTATTTCAGAATACCAAATATTCTAGGCATAGGCCACGTGAAATAAATTTTTGTCATCGGTTTTAGGTTTTGTTTTAGCCGTTTAGATGGGCCACGTTTCCTAAACGTGGTAGTATTGTTTATGACGTACACCACGCTTGTATCGTACCGTGCCGTTCTTTGTTACTTTTGTTTTTCTTGATGAAAATGTGTGGCCGTTCTTAATTCGGGTTTCGCGCATGTGGTACACTCGTACCCCGTTTATATCCCTACCCAGTTATATCCCACCCCCGGTTATATCCCCGAGTTTTGTAAAAACAAA